TCTCAGGACAAATCCTGAGGGCATTTCACTGACCTTCTCAGACCAAAAAGCTACAACTCTTGTTGCATAGGTCCTGCTTTACCTTGGTCTTAACCATCCAGCAGAAAAGTATGAAGACGAAATTATAAGAAATAAAGCCATGCTGTTAAGTTGAGCTGTGGGGGACTCAGGTCAATAATTTCTGACATTGCCAGTTAAACAGAAGACCCAATGCTATTATGGGCTACTGGACTCTTTTAGAATATTTTGCTGAGTTTACACACCTATAATATTCAATAACGGAACTTAGAAAAAATGGGGTATACAGATGAATGTCCATTTTGTATCTGTGTATTCAAAGTGGTTGGGATAGATATATAGTTACATTCTGTTAATGAATAGAATGATTTGTTCTAATGGTGTTTGTAAATAGGATCACAAGTCCGCATCTTGTACAGCAATTAACCACTAAGAAGAATATATGCAGTGTATTATTTGTTGAAAAATAAAAAAAATAAAAACAAAACAAAACAAAAAAAATACAGATTGATTTATACTAGGAGACTTCAACTTCAGGAAGAGATGAACAACCTGTTCATGTGTGTTACGCTGTGTTTTGCTTCACTGAAAGTCATATTTCTGAATGACTTTTACTATTGCAATCACTATAACTTTTCAAATTAATAAGCATCTCAAGAAAGCTGATAAAATTGAACAGACAAACATGTGAAGACAGTTGTTTTGCATGATACGTGTATGCAAAAACTTTGAAGTGTCTGGTTACCAATAAAATGTTTTCATTGATATTCACTGAAGAAAAAACAAAAAAGAAAAAAAATGGAAAACAATGAAGTAGAGAAAAACAAAACAAATCCTGGGTACCTTGGAAAAATAGAGCAATAATAATCAACAAACCTAAATGAGAACTGCTCAAAAAAAAAGAAGAAACTTTCTGGTAACAAGAATGAGGGAAGAGACCTTATTGTAGATCCTTTGAACAATAAGAACAAAACTCCAGACATGGTGGTGCAACCTGTAATTCCAGCCCTAGGAAGCTGAAGCGGGAAGATTGCCAGGAGACCGAGGGCAGCTTGGGCTACACAGTGAGCTCAAAGCTAAGCTGAGCCACTCAGCAAGACCCTGTTTCAAAAAACAACACCAAAAACAAAATCAAAACAAACAAATCCCCCAACAGGACCATAAAGGAACACTCCGTAAGCCTTCCTGTGGCTGGCACGCTAGGGAAGCAGACCCCCGCTGTTTCTGAAGAACTGCATTGCCAAAGAAATCAGTGTTTCCCGCCTATGGCTGTTGGCCCTTGAGGCCAACACCAGCCTCTGGTGGCAAATGGGCTGCAAAAACCAGAAAGCCCCCAGAAAGGCACCTTCTCCACTGGTCACGAAGGGTGAGAACTGCAACAACCCAGAGAGGTAGCCCTGGCCCAGGCCCACAGGTGACAATGGACAAGAGCATCCTCTCACAGAGCGGAGCCAGAGCCCAAGCAAACCACAGTCTCACTTCCAGCTGAGGGTGTGTCCACAGCTGGTGCCTGGGATGTGGCCTGGGATGGCCACCCTATGCCACCCCAGGTTTCCTTTCTGTGAAGACCACGGAAGAGTAGCCGCCTCACTCCTGTTCGCTCCACCATTAAGGGTCAGTGTGGAGGGGACAGACAGACATGACAGGATCCCTCACGCACCCTGAATGCCGTCGCTGTGCAGGGCGTTTGCAACAGCCCTTTGAGGAGAAGGCAGAGATGTTCTCTGTGAAAAGAAAGGTCAGTGGCTACCTGGGAAGTGGAAACACTCAGGGGAGCAGAGCTAGCCACTATGAGGACCCAGATGGCAAAGGCTAGTGATGCCCCTGCTCCTTTTCAGGCCACCACAGAGCCCCTGGGTGATTCTCTAGCCTGCCTCGCTGGTTATATACGGCCGCATGTCTGAGTGCTGCTGGTGGCAGGAGGGAAAGAGCAGTGCCCGGCACTCCCTTAAAGGGATACATATCCACACCCTTCCCTCTGCTGCTCCTGCTGGCGCAATGCCCCTGTGCTGCAGGAACCCAGGTGGCTGCCATGAGCCAGAAATGGAAGCCAGATGTTGAGCCTGGCAATGCTGCCTCACACCAGCCCTGTGCTGCCAACCTTTGAGTCATGAGGTAAGAGAAATAAAAGTCAGTGCCTTTCACACTGCAGCACTGGAGAGGGTCCCTGTGGACTGAAGCTACGAATGAATGGTGAAAAAAGAGACCGCAAGTGAAGGTGCCCTCCTGCTACGCTCAGCAGGAATGAAGACTGGGCCAGAACTTCGCTTCCATGGGCAGTGTGACAGGTGCAGGGCCCCTGAGAGCAGGTCTGGGAGATGCTGGCTCAGAGCTCTGGATTTATTTTAGCTTGGTTTTTCTATTGGTTTGTTTTTTTAATATTGCATGTATCAGTGAGCTTTTGTCTGGACAGAAAAGGCTGAGTATGTGTGAAGAGGCGAGAGGGTTCTAGTTGTTGAGACAAGGTCTTGGTATGTAGTTGAGGTTGGCCTGAAAAGGATTCTTAAGGAAGAAGGGATGAGATGAGGGGAGCTAGGATGGGGAAGTGATGAACGATCCAGAAGGAACATGGTACATTAAATCCTAATGGGACATGAGCATAGCGAGAGAGTAGAGGCCCCAGCTATGAAATGCATTGTCACTAAAGGAGGGAGAGGAAGAAAGGCTGAAGGAAGGGAGCCGAGTCGGGGCAAAGCTCTGGCATTACACGGCTGGACATGGCAGAAATGCTTTTCAACTACAGATAGGAATCTCGCTATGGATTAATTTTGCCTTTCTCTAGTATTAAGTTCTCTGTGACAGAAGGCAGTTTTTATGCTTTTTTAACATTGAAGACTTGACTATAAAGAGGCTGAAGCTGTGAATCAAAGCGCACCTCAGACCAATCTGGATCATTCATTACACTGTGTCTCTGGAAGCCCACGAAATGGAAGCTACCAAGTGGGTGCTCTTACAGCTACTTTTGAAACTATCCCAGTGGTTTTACAGAGGACAGATACTGAGTGGGCCTCTTGCAGAAATGTGAGTTCGCTTCCTATCCCATCATCCCCCTCACAAAATGTCCTCTGTGGCAGACACAGAGATGCCCAGATCACCCTCCAAAGAAGGACCAATGGCCCCACACACAGAAGGGAACCTCCTGCTGACCAGTCATTCATGGTCTGCCTCAGGGGCCCAAAAGCTTATCCTCCTTGGAGTCCAGACAGATTTGTGGTGCTACAGAGATCCCAGGGTGAGAGAGCTCGGACACCACCCAGGCTCTCTGTGGGGCTGGCCCAGGCTTTGGCAGGCAGTCACAGTAGTTCCATATCCCACTTCTGCTGCTGCTTCCTGAGACTGACCCTCACAACACCCTGTATTCCCGGCTCCACCTCAGTGTCTGCTTCCAAAGAAGATGGCAGCCACTTGGCTGACAGAAGGGCTCTCCTGGTCTAGAAAGTTAGGGGAATCTGTTGGAGCCCGGGCTCAACAAAATCTTTTAGGTTTTGTTCTGCCACAGCAGCCACACTAGCTGGGAAGGTGCCTTGCCAGCCTGGAGAAATTTGCTGGGCTGGTGAAAGGACTGTCTCGGGGACTGCCATCCTATCTTGGGAGCAAACCAAATTTATGTCATGCCAATCTCTGCACCATGACAATAATCTTCAATATTTTATGAAAAGTATTTTTTAATTTTTCAGTTGATTGTAGGCTTTTGGTTTCTTTTGCTTTTATTTATTTATGTTCTTGTTTATGTACCTGCTCCCGAAGCAACTTGGCAGGAGAGTGATGTTTGTCCTGTTGCATTTCATTCACAGCAGAGAGCTGAAGAAAGGAGTTATCTTATTTTAGGGCCACAGAGATGACTTAGTGGAGGGCTTTGAGATGAATAAAACTGGTGCCGCCACTAAGTAGAGCAGTCATAGTGGTCATGGTTCCTCGTGTAGACAAATTCAAAATTATTCTCTGTCTCTGACAACACTACCTTCCGCAAAATACAAGACAGGAACCAAAAATGAGAAGAATTCAAACTATTAGGAGGAAATATTCAAAATCAATGTGATAAAACCCAAAATAGTTCCATGAATTTGTGCTCTGTTGTTAACTATACTGAAGGACTAAGATAAAGAAGCCTTTTAACTGTTGGGATAAGAAGGAGCTAAAATAAAGATGTACAGAACGACCTGCAGGGTGTGCGGGACGAAAGATAGGGAAACGGGGGCTCACTTTGGCAGCACATACGCTCACTGCAAGAGCAGAGGGAATAACCGAGAACTCTTGGAGCTCCACAAGGGCATCCTGTTTTCACGTCCTTGCTCCCAGCTGCCTCGCAGCTGCATGTCACGTATAGCTTAAACATAAATCTTACGCACACATGATAAGGTTTTGTTTCGTTAACCAAAAGAAACCTAAAGACTGAGATTCAATATGTAAAAGTAAAACCCAAAAATGGCGCAATAGCCTTTTGCTCTAGCCCTTGCTTAGCTTACGTTTGGTGTCCGTGTGTCTTTGTTTGCGGCCAGCACCTGTGAGTCTTTCCTGTCATTTAGCTCCTAAACAGGAAGCCAAGGAAATCATCTTTAAAGTGAGAGTCTAATAAGTTAAACAGTGGCCCCTAAAAAGGCATATTCATGTTCCAGTCCCTGGGACTTAGGAATGTGACTAGTTTGGCAAGAGGGTCCTTGCAGACATCATTAAGTTAAGGATCTTGAGACATCACAAGCCCTCAGCCCAGTGACCAATGTCCTGCAAGTGAATGTAATGGACACCCGAGACCCAGAGACCGGAAGGAAGGGGATCCATGGAGACCAAGGAGTGTGAGTGCTCTCTGACATGCTCCACCTGCCACTACCAAAGGCTGGACGCAGTTCTCCTGCGGTGCCCCACGAGGAAACCGTCCCACTGAGGCCTGCTGCGGGGTGTCCAGCTTTGGTAACCGAGGGGGAACTGACTCCTGTGGGAGAAGACACCCAGGAGCCCATCTCAGATGACGACCAGATACTTACTTCCCCGGTGCCATGGACTCTCCAGGAGCTGGGGTGAGCCTCGGTTTCCAGCGGAGCCCAGCACGCTCTGAAGCGCCTGCGTGTTGATGTAGCAGGGGTCATCAAAGAGATCCAAGCCACAGGAGGGTTTCATGGGAGCGGCATCTCGCGGGGCCTGGGCCCCTCTCTCAAGGGCGTCACCTGCAGTGATCGGCACAAAGCAGGGCATTATATTCTCGCTTTGTAGGCCGCAGGTCATTTTGAAGAAGGGACACGAAGCGAGAAGTCATGCCCACAAGCAAGGATTCAACACTGACTTGCAAACTGGACCCAGAAAGTCAAGAGAAGCAAAGCACCAGGCTCTGAGGAAGGGCCCCCCCTCCCTGGGGTTCCTTCTCCCCTGCCCCGGCCCTCGGCTGATTCACTGCTTCCAAAGCAGATGGCAGACCAGCAGCAGCTCCCGAGTGGGAAGGCCAGCACAGGCAAAGACCACTGACTCAGCCCAGAGTGGGGGCCCGGGGATGAGGAAGTGCCTCTGTAGCACTCAACTGGAGTACTAACTGTTCAACCCCCTCCAAACTTCACCATTTAATTCAAAGTTCTTCCTAGGAATTAAAATCACAAAAAATAAATGAATGAGTACAATAAAATTCTCTGGAGTGGGAAGCTGGCTTTCGTCTGTTCCTGATAGTGTCTCCTGCCAGGCTCAACCTTGCCGAGCTGGTGTCTAATTCTGTTATTTGGGGGAAGGTTCCACCCTGAGTCACCTCCTCCCCTCCCCTGTTCTCTCCTTCTTTGTCCTTACCCCCAGTAGGAGATGATGCTTTAAACTGTACAATGAACCCCATTTCTTGGTGACCTTCCCACCACTTCCCAGCCCCATAGACCCTGCCCACCTCCCCGTCCAGGGGTGCCCAGCTCTGCACATTCAGCTCCCTGCAAGTCTGACCTCTGCCCACCTGCTCCCGTCACCTTTCTCCATCACCCTTGGCCTTCAAGGTAATTCAAAGCCACTCTCTTCAGGACAGTAGCCCAGCCCCCCGGCCCGGGCTTCTGCTCTCCTGGCAGTTTGCACATAACCTTGGGCACCCATGCTACAAGAGGGAGCAGTTCTCTCACTTCCACTGTGATCAGCCCACAGTTTGCGCTGCATCTGGGCTGTGCATCCCACACAAGCAGGGGTGAGGTCTCTTCATCCTTCACTCCCCAGGAGACCCTGACCTGGTCCTGGAAGGACAGGGCTCATCCCAACATCGCAGCACAGGGAACAGTGCTAGGGTTCTGCGCATCAGAGTGGGAACCCAGGGGCACACCAAGCAGGGGATGCCTGCCTCTCGGGGTGGCTTGTGCCGGCCCCTGGCTCAGTGTAATACTACATACGTGGGACATCCTGAGGGCAGAGTGGCTGTCTCCAGGCAGAGGGCCCCACAGGACACTGTGGCTATTTGTGTATTGTGCAACACCTTACAGTTTCCACTTGCTTGGCTAAATGTACTTGAGGGCTCTGTCACCTACTTCAAGCAAGCTGCTGACACAAACGTACAGTGGCTGGAAGGAAGGTTGCGGCCAAGAAGTCCAGGACTTTGCTCGGCTACGAGCTCCTCCTTTGCTGCCTCATGGTAAGTGGGAGATTCAAAGCGAGGCTTTAAGCGAGCGTCCGCGTCCATACCACCCTGAATGCGCCTGGTCTCAAAGGGGTACTTAAAGCCTAGATTTGATTATATCATTTTTAAAATACAATTTGTCCACACCCCCTCCCCCGGGAGCGAACAGCCGCCCCAGGCCTGACCACGGAGCTCCGGCAGTCACCACCCTGGGGCCCAGGCCTGGCTGAATCTGCCTGGCACATTCCATGGCATCTCACTGCCACAGCACCACCCGGAGTGCCTCTGCCCAGCCCCCACCCAGCGGCCCTCTCCATCGGGCCAGGCTTGGACACACTCCTTGTGCCACGTGTGGGGCTTCTCCATCCTGGCGACCCATCCATGCCACACCACGCCTGGCCTCAGCTGGCCACCCCGAGCTCACTGTCCCAAGGGTGCACAGGGCAGCGGTGTCTACCCCGGCGCTCGGGACGGCCACCACTGCGCTCTGTCTCTGTTACACATACGCCATTGCAATTAAGTGGGCAGTGTTGTCATCAGTCTTTAACAAGGCACCCCACCTCATCCCCAAATTTAAAATAATCCTAAAATAAAGGGTGGGGTTGGGGAAGCTAGCCCTGCACCCCGGCACAGCACTCCCAGAGCCCTTCTGACGTTGCCCTCCCAGAGCCCTTCTGACGTTGCCCAGGGAGGCTCGTGGGGGAATAAATGTGCACCGAGCTGTGTCCCGCGGACAGCGAGGTCTGCAAGCGCAAGCCCTCAGTCTCTGCAGCTCAGCACTGCCGGGAGTTCAAGCACCAACATTTCCATTTAGCTCAGACAGCAGGGAAGCCATGTTCAAATTTTCCCCATCATCCCTTTGTCCACTAATAAATATAATCAACTCTCTCAGCAATAGAAGGCTATTGCAATAGGTATAATACATGCGGAATTCAAGTTTCAAGTCAATATTTCAATAAATAAGCCAAACCTCGCTGAAAATATGTACATGGTGGCTGCCAGAAGCTTGGGCATGACTCTGGGAGAAGCCATGAAAACTACGCGTCTGCTTTCCGGGCAACTGCCCAGTTGGATCCCTGTTCGGGAATTTCAGGTCACTTCAGTCAGAACCCCTACTTAGGGGACGCTCCCTCTTGACACAGCGGGAGGGGCTTCCGTTCTGTGTCCAGGTCTCTGAGGCACAAGCCAAGCCCCGACCCCCATAGTTTCAGTGGTTGAGGTTTGGGGATTTAGACAGCCACTTCCTAGCCTTCTGGGATGGTCAGACACAAACCTGGCTGCACAGGGGAGCAGTTACTGCTCATCATGCCTGGGAGCAAGCACCCCACCCAGAGCTTACCCTCACACCTCCTCAAGGTGTGGGAATTTCCCAGGCAGGTCACGCCCACCGAGCCACGGTGATGAAAGGCAGGGTCTTTCTCACATTTTTCATAACAAGATGTGCATCCATCCTCCAGTGTAAGCGAACTGGAGTGGTCAAGAGTGTGCTCTCTAGCTATTATGGCTAAAATAAGCTCTGTGGAATGTATTCCAGGTTCTGAACAAACGCTGACTGCCAGACCTGCCTTGGGTGGCCTGCGGTGTATTTATAGCATATAGGCATATAGGGTTAGGTGGCTGGTTTAAATAAGAAAGCCAAGAAAACCAGAAGCCACAAGAAGGGTTCCACAAGGCTTCACACTTACAAAAAAAAAAATCTTGAATGAGATTGAAGTGAGGCCTCCATATCCATTCCCTCCTTCCCACATCGATGCTTTTGAAGGGAGAATATTTAAAAATGTAGAAACAAAATGAATCAAGAGGAGAACTCTTCAGGAGCCAAGACAATCCATGAGCCTTTTTGATGGCAGTCTTGTGACTCAGGCAGTCAGAAGCGGGGTGACAAGATGGGAAAATGGGCCAGGAGCACTGTTTGGTGGTGAGGAGGAGAGAGACATGTGGCCCAGGGAGCTGGGAGGGCTGAGGGTTTAGGAGCCCCGAAGCCATGAAGGCTGCCGTCTCTGCCTCGGCTCAGGCAGGAGCTGGCCCGGAACACTTCGTTCTGCCGCTCTAGCCCTCTCTCCCTCCCCTGCTCTCCCTTCCCCCCATGTCTCCACTGCTTCACTGTACCTGGATGGCTCCTAGGCCTCGGCTTGGTTTTCTCTCCCTAAGGGAAACCTTCTTCAGCTCTTGATAGAGTAGCCTTCCCTGTCCTTTGTTCCCATCACATCCTGGACTCGGGAACATCCCTGGGGAGTGTGGGCCTGTGGGGAAGGTGTGTCTTGCCGGCTCTCTCTCTCTCTCTCTCTCTCTCTCTCTCTCTC